TTTCTTGATAGCCCCTGTTTGGAAAGCCTTCCTGGCATGGTTTGCCCAAACTCTTGGGAGTGCTGCTTCTGACTTCTCAGACGGTTTAGTGATGGCTAGGTTGGGATCTGCAGGCGGTTTAGGGTTTAGGGTTGCAGTCTATGTTGCCCTTTGCGCTTCAGAATCTTTAGTCTGAGCTGTTGTACCTGCACTGGCTTAAGAATACTCAGCTTAGCGTAGCTTCAGTAAATCTTTGACATTTTCACGACGGCTGCAGCTAGAATGGCCAAAAAGATCAGTCAGACATCTGAATATGCAGTAGCGTTACTTTTTCCTATTCCTTCTCTTGCTTATGCTAGACGTGGTCAGGTCGTGACTGCTTGGCGACAACACGTTGCTATGGCACTACGGCTGAAGAGGCCGCCTGGGCGACGACGTGCTGGGTTCACAGGGGTAGTTAGTGTCGTCATTTAAACTTAAACTTAGCAAGACGAATTAACGACACTGTTTCAGACATTTCGCTCGACATAGTAGGAACATTAACATTGTATCGCTGACACCGGTCATGGGTTTGTATGGATGGGTTGCAGGGGCAGCAGAAATTTCCCGGCATCTGGCAATTTGCCTGGTAGCGGTTTCCTGCATATTGTCGCTTCTACAGATTTGGGCAATTGCCAGGCACAGCTGACCGTTTTCCACGTTTCTGTGTGTGGTAGGTTGGTAAAATCTAATCCCACACAGGCTTGGGTTTGCGTTGCCGAGCATTGGCTAAAGGCCAACAGCCCTAGACTCGTTAGACAAGTGTCCCCCAGATAGGTGGTTTAGGTGGTTTAGGGTTCAGGGTAGGTCTACTGCAAAATGCCAAGAAGGTTGTTTGCCCCAGTAAAAGAATAGCTGTGTAGACACACCTCACACATTTTGGCTCCTATTAGCTTTTATAATTGAGACTGTGTGTAGACGGTTTCTGGCCTAGGGAGCTCGCAGCTGATATTTAGTGGTGTCTCAATCATCGACATGCTCTCCTCGACCCGGCAGTCAAAAGTAGAAACCCTAGACATACCCTAAGACCTAAAACCCGAAAACCCTGAATCCCCCAAACACTAACCAACCCTAAAACTCAAAGTACACTAAACCCTACAACCCCTAAAACCAGTCTCAGGCATGTGCAGCATCGGCAGCGTGCAATCCGAGAATTGTTGCTGCTTCGCTGGCGAGAGCACTGCTCCTCAATGCTCTGGAGCAGGCGGGGGCCAAGCTAGTATCACTTGTCGCTACAACTTGTTAGGACTTAGAGTTTAGATTGTAGGGTTGAGGATTCAGAGTTTAGGGCGTAGAGTTTCTGATTTGGTTTGCCTCCACCAAATAAGAATGGAACCCCCGGGAAAGGGCAAAGATTACTTATAGCACGAGATGACAATTGTTGACATGTTGACAGTGCCACCGTTTCGAACATTCTTGAGGGGTTCATGCCGATAGCACAGGATTTCATGGGAGCTCTGTATACCCATTTTTTGAGAAGCGTGCATACCAAAATGGGTATGAAAGGCTTGGGAACACGCATACCATCTCTTCCCAACTGACGCTCACTGCCCCTACTTCCCTCAAAGTGGAATACTTGAGGTTGCATATCCGGAATCTTTACTCATTTTGCTCTTAAAGGGCAAGGTCCTCAACCCTAAACCCCAGTTTAGGCCTTTGACATGACACAACGTATGCTTCAGCAGCAGCCGCCTGACTTGTAGATTCCTCAAGCCCTGGGCCTCCAATCCTCTTCAATCAACCCATAGGTCTATGGGCTAAGGGTTTAGGGCTAAGGATTTTGGGGTTTAAGATTTAGGGCTTGAGGATGCAGAGCTATCCCGTATAAGTACAGCATCCTGCCAAACCGTATTCTGATTTTTACGCCCTTACATTACCATCCCTATACCAACCCCTAAACAATCCACGACCCATGTCATTTTTGAGTGCATCATCCATGTGATTCCCCATGAATTCGCTGTTCGTGCCGCAAGCCCAGGACTCGACTTGAAGAGCGCTTTGCCAAGCGCCGCCTGCGCCGGGCGTTGGGTGCCTGGCGATGGCTGAGCCTTGCGGAAGCGTGCGTGCGGGCGAGGCCGGAAGGAGCATGTGAGCTATAGTCCAAACTCCTTAAAGGGTGTTATCTAGGGGTTATATGTGGGACTACTATGAGGGTTACTAAGGGGGATACTAGGAGTTTTGACTATAGTTCATGTAGTATTATTGCTGGTATTGATATTGATATCCCCTTTTTACTATGGTTGGTATTAGTTGGGAGGACAGGCGAGGGGGTCAATCCTGAAATTTCTAAAGCCTGAAGAACAACTCCCTAAATTCTACTCCTAGAGTCTCTGGCTGATGACTTTAGATGCCACATTAGTTCCCGTAACAACAAGTCCAGACCATTGAGACCTCAATCACTAAGCCGCCCCTACAGGGCCTCGCAGTACTCCAACTCGCTGGCGCTCCGTGCCCTGAGAGTGTTGAAGGGGCGCGCCGTACGAGCATACCATCGCCGCGAGATTGAGGCTCTTTCCTTGGAGGGTGTATTAAAACCATTTGGGTAATGGGGCTTTGGTAATCCCATCCGCATCAATCAGAGTCATAGGGTGCTTCTGCTGGGGTTGCAGTAATCAGATTATCCTTCTTCTGTGAGGTTTGTGGCCAGGGATTGCACGTTCGCGACTTGTTCAATCTAAATGGGTTCCGCCCTACAGCAGTTACGTTGCGCCGGAAGGGGTTTGTCGGGATAAGGGGACGACATACAGGATCAATGACGGTATCGTAGGGGTCCATCTAAACCATGAAAACCATGACGGGGTGGTTGCTTGCCCCGGAATCCCCAACAAAAAAGGAGCGCTTAACAGGACTTCAAACCCAATTGCACACGTTTAGCATTACATCCGCCCAAACTAGTAGATATCCTGGGTTTACAGATAACTCCTACACCTCAAACCTCATATTATCCCAACACACAGCCCTTCTATTCCCATCCTCATAACTCCTTAAACCCTGAACCCCTTATACAAACCATGCGACACCCTTCGAAGATGCACCAAACCCCTACACAGCATACCTCATATATCATACTATATACCCATCCTAATAACTCCCTATACAACCCGTACAACCCCTTCAAAGATGCCCTCTAAACCCTTAAAACGCTGAAACCCTTAAACCCTAAACCCTAAGCCCTTAAACCCTAAACCCCTAAACCCTAAACCCCTAAACCCTTAAGCCCTAAACCCTAAACCCTAAACCCCCGCGCAGGTGCAGCAGCAGTCAGGATGCATCTCTGTCCTCCGCGGGACCTTTGGCGCCTGGCGGCTTCAGCGCAGAAGTTGCCTGGACTGCAAATGATTAGGGTTTAGGGTTTAGGGTACTTTCCCAAAATTAGCGGTACCATTTTGGAGGTCCCTATAATGAGGACTATAGTATTTTGGGGTCTATATTGGGGTCTCCCTATTTTGGAAAACTACCATATAATATAGGGATTATATTGGGATTCTATAGGGATAATGGAAAAGAAAATGGAAACTACCATATTATTGTAAGATTTGTGGTTTAGGGTTAAGGGTCTAGGGTTTAGGGCTAACGGTTTAGGGTTTGGGGTTGAGGGTTCAAGATTCAGGGGTTTGGGGTGTGCCGTTCAGAGGTCTTGGGTTTAGGGTGTAGCATTGGGGGTTGTGTAGGGTGAGGGGTATCATAAACGCTGTGAACCTTGTGTCGGGGTGACATGACTTGAGGGCCTAGCTCAATGGTTGGCGGGGAGGAGGCAATAAGGGAACATAATCCCCATATAACTCCTCATGTAATTCATTCCCTTATTCCCTACTAACCTCTAGTGAGTCATTAAGGGGGATCCTAGGACTAGGAGTTTAGACTATGGCTCATATAACCCCTATGTAATCTATTCCTTATTCCCTACTAACCCCCAGTGAGTTCTACCCAAGGAGATAAAAGCCCTGAGCCGAGGGATGCCGAGGGATGCAGGTCTTGCGAATGGGTCATAGGTCTGGAGATGCTGTAGGAGACTAAGAAATGGGATTTAGGGTTTAGGGCGGGTTTAAGGGTGCAGGGTTTAGGTTTCAGGGTTTAGGGTTTAGGGCACTAAGCCCTAAACCCCAAACCTAAGAATTTGAACAGGGACTTGAAGTACACTATAGTATAGTTTCATTAGGACGTCGACGGTTAACAGATAGCATTTTCAATTATTCTGGCATCTACCATCGCAAGGCCGAATCCGCCGCTGCATACTCCGAGTTTCGATTTCATTCTACAGTTTCCTTTCCGTTAGATTCTCCGGTATGTAGGAGTAGCAGGAGCTCGCTCACAGGAGCGTCCCGCCTCAATGACATGTTGCTTCTAGACCTCTAGTCGCGGGATATGTTGATAGTAGAAACGACAGCCGTTGAAAAAAACAAAGCTTATGGGTTACTATATTAGGGTTATATATGGGAATATATAGGGATCATCTTGGGATAATGGAAAAGAAAATGGAAACTACTATTGAGGGTGCTCGCTTTGTCGTTCATGTCCCGGGATGGGAGCTGCTCGCAAAGGAGGGCCCTCAGGGACCTTGCGGATATATGGGGATTTTTGGGAGATTGTGGGGGCTCCTATCACAGAAAAAGCTGGGGACTTTCTGAGAAATACGCAGACTGCGGCAATCATGCTAAGGGTTGTTGGTATGCATGAAAATGCGGAGAAGAACCCGGCCAGCGTCATGAATGACAATGCAGATAGTTCCAATCCCAACCCCTGAGAACAAGAACCATACTATCAAACACCTACACTGAATAGTCCCCAATACATTTAGGTGTACTATGCTGCAAGGTTTTTTGGGCCCGATGTAGCCCCTTACATCATTCCAGTGGCCATTTCATGGTCCAGTAGATTTCTGCTGGATTCTTCGTTTTAAGGTCAGTTTTTTCCCCAAAATTCAGGCCCTACGCCCTACCCTAAACCCAACCATGCCAACGTAAACCCCTGCTGCAATCAAGGCGGCTTCGGTGCCAGGCTGCAGTGGCGCCGCCTTTGCGTGGGTTTGGCATTTGAGGAGAAAGCCACATTGCAGCGCAGCTGGCCTGCATTCGGAGCGGGAATGAGAGGTTCATTCATCTAAGAGCCAGATCAGCTTAAGGACCTTTATATGGGGGTTTCCGAAAACAATGGGTACCCTTTTGGGGTTCTCCATAGTAAGGACTATAGTATTTTGGGGTCTATATTGGGGTCCCCCTAGTTTGGGAAACTACCATACTCGCCAAGATTATGATCCTATAGGTTTCTTCTTGTATCTCAACTATCGTATAGGGTACTTCAAAAACAAGAATGCATAGATAGCCGTGTAGGCCCGTGTATTACGCTTCAAGCCGTGTTTATAGACTCGGGCACTCATTTGAGATACTAGGCCAGAACAAACCGAAAATTGGAGACTTCGCGGCCACTTTGAGGGGATTTAGGTGTGTAGGGGTTGTGTGGAGGGTGTACAGGCTTAATGACTCATGTACCGATACGCAGATGAGTTCGGATGGGGGTTAAAGTTTTTCTGGGGCATCTGTAAGAGAGAAGTAGTGCAGAAGGGATCTGATTTGAAGAGGTTTAGAGAGGTGACAGAGGACGCCTTTAGGGTGTTGGGAACATATAGTAGAAATTGATAGAGATTGCCACGAGCATGCAGTAAGAATGAGAGATTTTCAGAGGGTTTGGGTGGCTCACAGGAAACTTGAATCAGCTTGCGCATGCGTTTTCGCGTTTCGCGCTTTGAAACCACATGATTCCCCTTCGGTATTTCAGTGATCGCTAGACCGTATCCTGTTTGGGCAGAGTTTTTGGGAGATAACTTCCTCGCAGGCAAGGTATGCCACTAATTAGATGTCCTCACAAATACCCTCCTGAGCCTAAGGCCTGAAGGTCCAGAAGGTTGCTTGCAGCTGCTGGCGCGAAAGCGTGGCGATCAGCAAGGACTTGGTGGACAGCTTTCGCAGGAAGCATCTTTGCTTCTCCGCTGCTGTCTTCCAAGCCTGGCGGTGTGCGGGCGGTTCTAGGGAGTGCAAAGTCCAGTCAAATCATGAGGTCATCCGCATGGTCATGGCAGAGGAGGGGCTCGAGGTGTCAGATTGCTTGCTGGAGGTGTCTGCCAGCACGGCAGAGGCCACGGCCGAGGCCACAGCCGAGGCCACGGCGGAGGCTACGCAAAGTACCTCCAGGGATGCTGGCCATGAACTCGGTGACCTGAGTGCGGTTGAGATCTCCACCAGCCTCTCGGAGATCAAGGCCCTCTCGCCGGCCGGTAGCGACTCGAAGCATTCGGACAAAGACGCACCGGTGCCGCAGGTACCTGATTTGCCAGAGCCAGAGCTCAACGAGCCAGACATGCTGGAGCCGCACTCTGACCCGCCAAAGCCCACAGCGACCGCAAAGACAGCGGCACCGCTGCGATCGATGTTGCGGTCCATGCCTTCGCCCTCGAGATCTCGCTCGGCGTCCTTGGCAAACTCTGACAGTTCCAGGCAGGTAACCCCTGAGACGGACAGTGTGTGTCGGGATATGGGCACTGTGCCCCTTTGGCCGACTGCAGCACTTGGGCGTGCTCGCAAAGCGAGCAAGGCTGAGGCCTTGGAGCGACACCGACGCGAGACTTGCTGATTCTTAGTCAGGAGTGTAGGAACGAGAAAGAAATGGAAAGACATATCTTTTTCAGGCACAGAATAGACATTAACAGTAACAGTGATATATATATATATAGAGCCGATTATATATAGACACTAACAGTGATATACATGTATATATATATATATATAGCAATCAAGGAGAAGGCGCTGGCTTTGCTGTCATCTTCGTGGTCAGCGTGGCAAGGCTGGCGGAAGCTGCAGCGTCGGGTGCAGAAGTCGGCATCTTGCCTACACTAGCATGCAGAGCTGGGCTCCTGAACCACTTCATGCGGGCTTCCTTAAAGAGGGGCCCTAATATAGACCCCAATATACTATGTTATTACGGGGTGATGACTACCAGATCATCAACAAGTCATCTCGGTTGGGGTCTCAAAGGTGCACCTGATCAGTGAGGATCTCTTTTTGAAGCTTCCGGCCCTGTCGTCGAAAGTCCTAGGCTGAGCAGAGTCGTCGGCGCAACAGGCGGACGCTCGTGTCGGCCTGGGGGCAATGGCGAGTGCTACTTGCCTTGCAGTATAGGCTGTTGTGTCGTTTTCGAAATAGGACTGATTGCGGTGTTGGAGATGTTTAAAGTCAGTCGGCCAGTTTCAGGTGGACAGTTACCAGGTGTGCACGATTATGCACAGCTCACATAGTTCGCGCACAAGCGTAGCGGGCATAATATGAGGCCTGCCTCCGTGCCCTGTAAGGTATCTAAGTGATAGTTGCACACCTAGCAGTGTCCTTTGACCGTCCGGGTCTATTCTACAGCGTCCGTGGTATGAAGATCTTAGTGTTTCGCGAAGCCGAAAAACTTGAAACACCGGAGCCCCTGAGTTCACTGTGCTGTTTGCGCATTCATTCCATCTTCCTGGAAGTCGTTGCTTCAGACGCCGGACAGGCAGGAAGAGCTTCAGCACGAAGGCATACGGCCCCCCCTGGCTGCCACTGCCCGACCGTTTTTCCGCGCGAATGCAACAGCAATCAAAGAGCAGCACAACTGTTCAACTAGGCCTAAATAGCCAAAGCCTCATCACTTTCCAAGCTTGGCTGCAAGACCTCGATAGATAGCTGACCAAAGGCGGCCCGGAAGTGTATCCAACCCATACGTCATCCTCAGCTGCAGATGCCCCAAATCTTACATGCTGAGCGATAAGCCTCACGGTTTCACACACACGGGCCTTAGGTTATCAGCCATGACTAGAAATGAGCTCTAGTCTGTTTGTAAGGGATCATATAGTATAGGGGACTACTATCCAGAGTTTTTAAGGGGTACGCTAGGAGTTTAGACTATGGCTCAGATGAGGTTTCACAGAGACTGCCAGCAAACGCGGCTGGTGTGGTGTGCGGCTTGGACTGCTCTGACCCCGCCCCCCTCCCTGCAGAGAGCCTATTTGCAGAGAGGCGAGCCTTAGATGGAGTTACCCCACATACTTTACTTTTGGTACTGAAACAATCTTCTGCATGACCTTAGTACACTATAGTACCATGATTCCTAAGGTATAATGTACCTAGAGTCATGCACAATTTCTACTATCCACAATAGCTTTTGTCGAGACCCCCCCCCCATAAAACCCAAGTCTCCACTCCATGTTCCATCTTCTTTCAGACTTTGGTTTTCCGTAATCCCAGTAAGGAGTCAGATACATGAACACATTTTTGCTGAGAGAGCTACTGTGCATTACCCTAAGGGTCCGAGGACCTTAAATACTAGGGTCCCTTTAAACGAGTTCTAGGGGATGGGATTATGTTAGGGCCCAAATACCATCAATATTATCATGTTTGGGCCCTAAAGCCCTGTTATTTGGGTCCTTGGACCCTTAGGGTTGGTCCCCGCAAGAAGGGCTTTCTAGTCATGGACACCGTGCCGGGGGATATACGGGGAGCATCAGCCATTCGATTCTATCTAGTTAGTAGGCGGATTTTCAAAAGTTTGTTCCGGGAGGCCAGATCGAGTTTAGTGTCCGTTTTTGCTTCGAAGCAGCTGTGGCAGCACCACAGTCATCATCACCACCGCCACCACCGCCACCACCGCCACCACCGCCACCACCGCCACCACCGCCACCACCGCTACTACCTACACCACTGCCACCACTGCCACACAACTGCCACAACCTCCACCACCTCCACCACCTCCCCTACCACCACCGCCGCCGCTGCATCAGCATGGCCACAGCTACTGCACCTGGCGCCATAGGCGTTCGCGTTGTTTCGGTGATTCGTGTTCCTGCTGCTGGGTGCCATTGACACTGCTCTTAGGCCTGGCTTGCAGAGCAACAACGAAGTCGAGTAGCACAAAGCCACCCAGCTCTTTTGAAGGGCTGGTGTCTCAACGAATTTGAGGAATGCCGGTTTTGGGCAAGACTTTTGAGGTTTTGCATGATTTGGGAATGTAGGGTCTTCGGCTTTTAGGCTTGAGTTGCCTCAGGGGACGATCTCAGGCGCTCTCAGAAGCAACTATCTTGCGAGAAGTCTCTCCAATGGGGGCCCTAGTTTGGGAATCTAAGACGGGCCATACTCCGTGACTCTTCGGCGAGGGTATAACCTACGGTTTGAGGTTAGGCATGCAAAGGTGTATCGATTCAGCAGGCGAAACTGTTAAGGTCCCCTTCAAAAACCACAAAGTGCTATCATCTAAACTCCTTTAAAGAGTATATATAGGGGATTACATAGGGCCTATTAAGGAGTTCAGACTATAGCTCAAAAACCAGCAGCTTCGCCTGTAAACAGCCAGGCCGTAGTCGGTCCAAGCACAAGCGGAAGACTGCGCTTTTGCCAGCGGCTCAGGAAGGGGTTTGTAGGGTAGAGTAGGAGGAGGAGGAGGAGGAGGAGGGTCTTAGGATGTCTTAGGGTTTAGGATTGGGGGCCCAAGTAAAATGCAAGGGAGCTTGGGATATCTTATACTTGAGTTCTGCAAGAGTTATAAGGGTAAGCCCCTAAAATTCTACCCTAATATGACCACAATAGCCCTAAACCTTAGATAGTAGTTTCCATTTGATTTTCCGGAGTACGATTTGCTGGATTTCAGGGTCAAGTGGAGTTAACGCTTGCTGGACATAGGTTTAGGGCTTAGGGCTCAGGAACAACGGTTAGAATGATTCACAGGTTTACTTGATACTCGATGCCAAGAAGAAAAGAGCATGGAGATCCTGCGACAACAAAGCCATGGCTCACTCAAGGCTTAATGGGTATTGTCTAGGACTACCAGAAGTTTGGAGAGGGTCTGGCTGAGCAGCGTGCCGGGGTTTGAGCCCACAGCCAAGAGCTTTTGTACGCTCCTGCAGCTGCATGTGAGGGCTGTGCGTATTCAAGCATCTCAGGTCCAGAGGAAGCCCTTAGAAGCCATTGAACAAGCCCTAAGGCTCTGGAGTAATCCCAGCACAAGGACTGGGTGAAGGGTGTGGGTGAAAGCGATTTGGAGGGCGACTGCTAGAAATCAGCCATCCCTCAGCAGCTACAACCTGAGGTTTGAAAGCCACTTACACTGCTTTAAGTCTCTCCACTGAAGGATGACACGGAAGCCATGTGCCCAAAACTCATGGCACAAATTTCGAGGCTCCACAGCGCCTTGCGCTGCTGGCGGCAATGCCTCGAAGACGTAACTTGGACGACACAGGCTAGAGAAGCTCAGACATCTTGGTGATACTAGGAAGCTTCCGCAGCTTGTGGCGGTTTATACAGCATGCATGAGTGTACATGGAGCAGCTACTGGGATTGCAGTCAGAAGATTCGCCTGGTTTCCAGCTCCGCTAACTTGACTTTTAGGGTTTGAGGTCGGGTCCTTGCATGAGGATGCCTGCAGCTTGCGTAGATTGTGTGTTGGAATCACAGCTGTGCCACCACGATGCAAGAGCAGAGCAGTCATTCGAGGTGTTCACAACTGGTAAAGGGCATGGACACTGAAGCACATGGTACATGTTGACTGGAGCAGTACCCAATTGTCTGCTATTGAAGGGTGGCAGCAGGTATTCGTCAAGTTGATGCAAGGCTCGCACGATATGGTAGTTTCGCTAAATCGGGGGACCCCAATATAGACCCCAAAAGACTATAATCCTTATCATAGGGAGCCCCAAAAAGGTAACCTCAATTTTGGGAAACCCCCATATGATCGCCCTAACTCAAGAGGCCTGCGCATGGAGGAGGGAGGGCCCATGAAGGGCCGCATTCTTTCATGTGCTGTCGTGGGAATGGCACTTCTCAGACGTGAGAAGTTGAAACATCGAAGAGGGAACCGTCTTGAGAAAAAAAGCAAAACCCTTAATGGTAGTTTCCTTTTTCTTTCCCATTATCCCAATATAACCCTAATCTGGATCAATGTTAGGGATCCTTTATACTTTTTGGGGTATGGGACTCCTCATATTTATGTAAAAAGGATCCTTTTTTCTTCCTAGGGTAATATGGGCTAAGTAATAACCCTAGTATAACTAATAACCCTAGTATAAC